ATAACATATAACATAACATAACATAATAGTTTATTCACCAAATATATAATTATTTACAAAAAGTATATACATATATTTGGATGGTGCTCAGCAAAAAAACCCCAAGGAGCTTGTAAAACGCTAAACACCATGGTGGCATATAGATGTTATAAATAGTTAGAGGTCGCGGTTTTGGCATTGTTACGAGATAGATGAATAGAGCAAAAGATTGAGATTAAGAAACAAATTCAGAATATTACAATATATATAACTCAGTTAAATTAACCTTTAGCTATTTGCCTCCATGAGGAAATTTCTGAGTTTGAATTGAAAGGAACTGAGTGAATGAGACTGAGTAATAGATTTATTGAGGGAATTCCAGAGAATTGAGCCACTATGCTTAAGAGTTAGCTTTCTAGTGGTAGTTCGCACCTTCTTTATATGAATCTTAGCAGCGTTTCGAGTATTATAGTGATGAACATCTTTATTATAAGAAAAATATTGGAGAAACTGAGATGGTAAGGAAAAGGATTGATTAAGGCATTTGAACATGAAACATCCAATTTGATATTGGTTAAGTTGGTATACATTTAATAATTTAAACAAAGAAAATAGTGGTTTAGTATGATCCCTGAAGCCAGCTCCAGCAATAATTCGAACAGCTCGCTTTTGTAATTTGAGGATCCTGTCGAGGTAAGTGTGATAACAGTTGGCCCATACAATATTACAGTATTGAATATAAGGAAGAACAAGTGAACAGTAAAGGGTTCTTCTGGTCGAAACAGAGACATACGATTTAATTTTATTAATTAAACCAATAGATTTGGCCATTTTCATAGAAACCTTGTCAATATGAACCTTCCAGTCTAAATGTTCGTCTATTTGAACTCCGAGAAAATTTATTGATGCAACTTGCTCAATTTCCTGACCGTCGATAATTATGTTTAGATTATTTCTATATTGGTTTAGGGACTTGTTTCTGGCACAAAAGATAATGCATTTAGTTTTCTTTACATTCAAAGATAATTTGTTCGTTTTGAACCACTTTGAGAGTTTAGAAAGCTCCTGGTTATTCTTCTCCACCAGAGACTTTAAATCCTTGTCAGAAGAAAATAAACTTGTATCATCCGCAAAGAGGATAAGATTTAGAATATTAGTACAGTTTGATATATCATTAACATATATAAGGAATAATAAGGGGCCTAATATACTGCCTTGGGGAACACCACAATTGATAGTTCTGGGGGACGAAATGCAATCTTTGAATTTTACTCTTTGAGTCCTATTTTTTAGATAGTCCGCAAACCATGACAATTGGACTGCTCTAATCCCATAATGACTGAGTTTATTAATAAGGATATCATGGTCAACTGTATCAAATGCTTTGGATAGATCCACAAACACACCTAAACCAATTTTTTTATCATCGATCGCCTGGGACACATTATCTACTAAATCAATCAATGCCATGTAAGTCGAATGTTTTTTCCTGAAGCCATATTGATTTGAGGATAATATGCAAAGTTTATCAAGGTAATTTAATAATCTAGTATATACGACCTTTTCTAATAATTTGGAGAAAATTGGAAGAATTGATATAGGTCTGTAATTGGAGAATAATGTACGATCATCAGCTTTGTAAACTGGAGTGACTAATGCAGATTTAAGTTGATCAGGGACTTTGCCTGATTCCATTGATTTATTGAATATATAAGTTAATAAAGGGACTATGGATGTTGATATTTGTTTAATAATGAAAGGATCTATAGAATCTATCCCAGGCGACTTATTTGAATTTAGAATTGAAATATAATCAGAAATTTCTAGTTCATTTGTGGGGAAAAATACAAATGATTCTGGGTATGAGCCCTTGAGATAATGGTGATAGGAAGCAGGAGTCCGTATGATTTGATCAGCTAAGTTGGCGCCAATATTAGTAAAATAACTATTGAAGGAATCGGCTATAAGTTGAGGGTCAGAAATCACAGTTTGATTATTTTTAAATAAGTGAGGCTGTATGACAAGTTATTCTAGTAGGTTTAAAAATCGTGGGGCATAGAGAATAGGAAATCATAGTCTCAAAGAAATCTTTTGAGACATCACTAGAGTCAAGTTTTAGTAAATTGATATTAAAGTCACCCATTATGTAAAGTGGTTTATTGGATCGATTAAGTATGGCGAAGGTTGAGTCAATATAGTTATTGAATAGTTCGATATTAGCATGAGGTGGTCTGTATATAACGCCAACAATTACATTAGAGTTATTTAGGTCTATTTCAACAAAAAGAGATTGACAGATATTATCATCGTTAATTCCCAGAGTATCAATTATTTTAAAGTTCAGATTATCTCTGATATAAAAGGCAATTCCGCCTCCTTGGCGATTTACATGATTACATGTAATGATATTATAATCCACGAGTTTACATTGGTCAACTTCAGTATCAGATAGCCAAGTTTCCGTTAATCCAATTACAGAAAAAGGATAACTTAAAAGGTGTAGGTAATCAGTAAATTTATCGAAATTATGTCGGAGACTACGGACATTGAAATGGCTGAGGGAGAAAGAGTCATGTTTATCAGAATACAGACTTATAAATTCATCTTCAAGTAGGTACTTGGTATTATTAGGTATGCAACTGCTGAAAAATTGCTGGTCTGGATCGAGATCATTTAGATTCGATATGGGAGAACTCAAAGAAAATGGATTGAATAATAAATCATTAAATGAGTCTATGTTAAGACTAAGTCCGGAATCATGTTCACGGAGTACTAACAGGAAATCGTCATCAGAAAGAAAACTGAAAGGGATTGCATCTGCTATACAAAAGCTACAGAACCAGTCATCGGAACTTGTACCCAATTGAATATAGTCACTATATCTAAGAGAAGTACATTTTAGATGAACCCAGTTTTGGCATACTTCACAACAAATAGCTTTTTGGTTAGAACGTACGGATTTATCGCATACATTACACAGCTCCTTGGTCATTAGAGCTGAGCAGCATACAAATTACAACAATATGTAAGTAATATAATTCAATGAATCAGAAATTAAACACTTTACAGAGTAATTATAGGCAAGGTCAAATTTTAAACAAATCCAATAACACAAGACAAATTGGATGAATAAACACAAATAATATAAGCACAAATTAGAATTCAACACCTAACAGATTAGAGGCTGCAAAATATAACACGTCAAGCCAAGTAGCGCAGTTCGGAATGTTGTAATAAGATATTAAAAATGACTTTATAAAAAGTCAGTAAAGTATTAGTGATGAAAATGAACTATTTGACTACTTATCTTTAGCTTTGAAGCTTGTTGATATCTTTTTGTTTCTCCAGCACGATTTTCTTACCATTGTGCAATAGGCCAATTATTCTACCATCCATGGACCAAGCAGTCGAAGTTTCAGGATGGGAGTCAGCTGCTGTTAAGAGCGCTTGACGCTTAGAAGTCAGGCTCTCCGAGATACTAACCCCAGAACCCTTCAGATGTTTTTTCTTTCGGAATACTTCTGAGCGTTTATTATATCTCGCAAATTTTACAATGATTGGTCTCGGTTTTGCTAAAGTAGAGGAGCGTCGTCGTATAAGGCGATGTGATCTGTCAATGTCATTGCGGCTTAGTTCAACATTAAGCTTTTCTCGTATCACATTAATGACTGCTTCGTCAGTATCTTCAACGCTCCCAGTAGATTTTTCCGGTAGACCGTGAATCAATAGGCAATTCCTTCGACCATATTGCTCTAAACAGTCCAACTCATCGCGCAGAGTTTGATTCTCGCCTTCGAGTAAAGACATCTTGTGTTTTAAGTTATTTACTTCATCTGCCAGATTACCATGATCAAATTGTATTCCTTGATAGACATTTTGTGTAACATTCTCTTTAATGTCATCTACAATTTCAGATTTGAGTTCTTGCTTGAATTGTGAGGTTTTGCCAAGCTTCGAGGCTGCTTCGCTTGAAAGCGTTGACATAAAGGATTCCGTCTTGAGCAAAGTATCAACAATCGTAGAAGAAATACATTCAATCAGCTTGTCAGTAAAAGATGAGTCAGAAAGCAGACTATTTGCCAGTTTACGTTTTATTTCATCAAAATCGGCCGCGCCTTCCTGGCCTCCTTTCTTCTTACGAAGGCCTTCAGCCATCACGCCAAAATTTGAGTGATAGATTAAATTATCACGATCAATTCACAGATGTAAAGCTAGATTTATTGGTTTGTTAAATGGCTAGAACGTTTATATATTGCAGTCAAACCATAAGGCGTAGATAACAAACAATAGTATGATAATCTAGATACACATTTATCGAGAGCGATTTAGGCACGTCCGCTAGCTTAAGCACATGCCATGTTTCCTATATATATATATACATATACATATATACATACATACATATACATACATACATATATATACATACATATATATACATACATACATATACATACATACATATACATACATACATACATACATATACATATATACATATACATATATAAATGTCGGTTGATTTATTTTAAACCAAAAAGCTTCTTCGGGCAAATTTTGACAAACATTACACACCCAACCACAACGAGAAAACATCGAGAAGTATGTATATCTCAAGCTGCCCTTTATTAATGAAGAGCTTAAGCGCCGTGCCTTATCTATAGTCCGACGATCTGGACTTGAAAACATTAGATTACAGTTTGTAAATGGACCATCCCTATCAAAAATATTTGCTCCACGTATAAAAGAGAAGCTAAGTTGCCCGATAACTGTGATACTTGTAAACTAGCAATTAAAACTAATCTATGCAAGGTTAAGAATACGATCTACCTTATTAATTGTTTACATTGTCATCTGGTCTATGTGGGAGAAACCGGAAGAACAATACGATCGCGGATAAAGGAACATCTCCGAATGGACAAACAAACAGTTCATGTACACCTTAGAACTCACAATATTGACCCACAAAGCGAGACGACAATAAGTTGGAAAATCCTCCATTCAAATATAAATTACCGGTATGAGCGTGAAGTGATCGAAGCACTTGAGATTCGGAATTATTCGGACAGAATTATGAATGGTTGTGCTGGACGTAATATCAATATCTAGTTTGACTAATTGGAACAATCAGGCTTCTAATATATCCTATGGTACAATCAACAATATAATAACAATCACTCTTTTAACTTAATTTTAAAATTTTTAACTTAGAACTCAAATTAACATTTTTAATTCTTTAGGTTTTACATTCTCAATCAAGCGATAAATGCATGTATATATAGAGGACGATTTTATTATTCAGATTATTGTACTCACTGATGAAGCCTTAACCGGCGAAACGTCTGAGGAATTTAATAAATAATCTCACAATTTGCCTGAAGAAATCCCTTTTTTGGTTTAAAATAAACCAACCGACAGAAATAATCCAGGCATGACAATCAAAACCTATTCATATATATATATATATATATATATATATATATATATATATATATATATATATATATATATATATATATATATATATATATATATATATATATATATATATATATATATATATATATATATATATATATATGTATATGTATGTATATATATGTATGTATATATATGTATGTATATATATATGTATGTATATATATATGTATGTATATATATATATATATATATATATATATATATATATATATATATATATATATATATATATATATATATATAGGTTGTGGTGTGTAGACCTCATCAACATGTATTGAAAGCGCTCAATAGGTATACTAGAGCTATGTAGAGTTAAGAGAGACTTCTTAGTTTAAAAACATTTAATTGCTATTCTGAGTTTCATGCTTCTACTGAAGCAATCGTCAGGCGAATGCCGATCGAAGATGTTAGATTACATGGCAAGTTCATTGATAAACAAATTACAATAAATTTAAAATGCTAAAAAGTGATATTGAATTTGTTTAAAATCTAAGTACTATATGGGTTCATTGTCTCTATATGTTCATTGTTGTATTGTTTCGCGGATGGATTAAGATATTGTTTATATGCTAAGTGTTAAAAGCTATAGTTCATCGTTCTCACTAAGTATTGCATTGTCCAATAAAAATTTCTTTGAATGTCTACATTCCGACATAAGTTCACTTCTTTTGTTGAGCGTTGCAGTCTTACGTTGACGTATTATGTAATATTTCTCCCACAGGTACAAGTTGAATTTTTTGCTAACGTTGGTGTATGATCAAGCTTGTCTTACTTGCTTCCACTTGATTTGGTATTTGATCTTTTGGTCTTTCAGGTTCCATATGTGTTTACTTAACTGCGTTACGTTTCTATACCTTTCATGATTGAACGAGCATTGGTAATTGTTATGCCTTAACTTAAAATCAGCATCGCAAAGTCCGACGTACGTTTCTTGCGAATCCTCCGTAGTTACTTCAGCTTGGTATATGATGCTGTCAGCCTGACAGTTTTTGTCCATTGGGCAAGGACGTTTTTTGCAATTGCAATTTTTCGTTGTATCGGCGGTGGCCTTTGGTTTGGATAATTGAGATTTGTTGTGGCCCGAGATCATAGTTTTAATGTTATTCATAAAGCTGTAGCTTAGTTTGAGGTTATGGCAATTAAATATTTTGCTGAGTGGGTTTGATTTTGGAAAGTGACGGTTGATTAATTCGAGGAAACATTTTCCTACATTGGTTTCAACATTTCTACTGTAGGGTGGGTTAAACCATGTAATGTTCCTAGGTCGGTTTCTGTGTGTTTGCAGTGCATCGTTATATCTTAAGTTGTAGTTGTAGCCACTTTTGTTCAATGCATCTTGATATGGGGGTTTGGCTTTGTTGAAGCAATCTTCTTCAAACAATTGAACAATGATGTCAAGACCTACATCAAGAAACCAGACACGGTACTTGTCCCTGCGGATAAAACGACAAATTTTTACGCATTGCAAAAATCCTGTTATCAAAAGCTCATCACCGAAAATGTGACCAAAACATACAAGAAGTCAACTAATAAAACTGTCAATCAAATCAATAAGAAAGCCGCTAGTATATCGCAGAAGCTTAAATTAGATATGACCGAATCGAAGTGCTAGCACAGAAAGAAGCCTTTATAACTTTGAAAGACCATAAACCCGAATTCCAAAACCATCCTACATGCGCCGTTTAATCAACCCCACCAAATCCGAGATCGGTGTAATTAGCAAACACATCCTCGACGAAATAAATGCAGCAATTATTGACGCCGCAACACAGATAAACCAATGGAAAAACACATCAAGTGTTTTGAGATGGTTTAACAACTTGGAAAACAAAAGATCGCTCTCGTTTATATCTTTTGACGTTTGTGACTTCTACCCATCCATAACCGAGAAATTACTGAATAAAGCATTAGATTTCGCCAGCAAATACCGACACATCAGCAAGCAAGAACGCGACATCATCCTACATACAAAACAGTCGCTATTATTTTGGGATGGCAAACCATGGGAGAAGAAAAATTCACTGAACAACAAATATGATGTAACCATGGCATCATTCGACGGAGTAGAAACGTGTGAGCTGATAGGGTGCTATCTCCTGTCCATCCTTACAAAAAAGTACGGCCAGAACATCGGACTTTATCGAGACGACGGCTTATCAGCATTCCAACACACACCACAAGGGATTGAATTAACGAACAAAAAAAGATCTGTGTAAAACCTTTCGCGAGAACGACTTAAAGATCACAATCGAAGCTAACGTTTATACGTTAAACGACTTAAAGATCGCAATCGAAGCTAACGTTCGTACGTAACCGTCGTCAATTTTTTGGATGTCACGCTCGATCTAAAAAGTGGCAAGCATTGGCCGTACTTCAAACCAGGAAACGTTCCCTCGTACGTGCATGTAAAAGCTAACCATCCCCCAATAATTTTGACAAACATCCCTGAAGCCATCAACAAACGCCTCTCAGAACTATCGTCAGACGAAGATTGCTTCAACAAAGCCAAACCCCTATATCAAGATGCATTGAACAAAAGTGGCTACAACTACAACTTAAGATATAACGATGCACTGCAAACACACAGAAACCGACCTAGGAACATTACATGGTTTAACCCACCCTACAGTAGAAATGTTGAAACCAATGTAGGAAATTGTTTCCTCGAATTAATCGACCGTCACTTTCCAAAATCAAACCCACTCAGCAAAATATTTAATCGCCATAACCTCAAACTAAACTACAGCTGTATGAATAACATTAAAACTATGATCTCGGGCCACAACAAATCTCAATTATCCAAACCAAAGGCCACCGCCGATAGAACGAAAAATTGCAATTGCAAAAAAAGTCCTTGCCCAATGGACAAAAACTGTCAGGCTGACAGCATCATATACCAAGCTGAAGTAACTACGGAGGATTCGCAAGAAACGTACGTCGGACTTTGCGATACTGAATTCAAGTTAAGGTATAACAATCACCAATGCTCGTTCAATCATGAAAGGTATAGAAACGTAACGCAGTTAAGGTGGCTCGATACAGTTTTCAAAATTCAGGTGTTTAACAGTTTGACATGTTCAAACTACGCATTTTTAGGATTTATTCAGCAGATATTGGTGTTTTTTATATATTTTGATAACTCTACTTTCAAATTATATTAGTTTTAGTAACAGATAGCTCGTTGCTATGACGACATACGTGTACGAAATTCACTCCAAAATGGCCTATCGTTTCGTATAGTTGGAAAAAAAGCATGGTGACCCCCAATTTTTTTTCTTGCATTGTTTTACTTGGACGAAAAGCTAACAATTAGCAAAATATAAAAAAATTCTGTAATGCCATTTTTTTGGAAAATGCGAAAATGTCATATTCTTCGGTAAAATTTTTTTGGCATTACAGAATTTTTTTATTTTTTGTATAATGAAAGTTTTTGCAGTGCAACACAGCATGCAAAATTTGAACATAGGTCACCAGGCAAAATAAAGAGATATAGCGCATTGTTTTTCTAAAATGGGAAATTCTAATGACGTCAGCAATCGACACAAAACGCTATACAACACGCGCAATGACGTGAGATGGCGCGAGCAACTGCTCACTTCAGGTCATTTTGGAAGTTCTTTCATTTTGTTAATCAGTTTGCACGACCTGCGCGTAAAAATGGTCGCCCAGTTTTGTTCGCGATTCTTGAGCAGGGTTTTTGTGATAACTATATCGAGCCACCTTAAGTAAACACATATGGAACCTGAAAGACCAAAAGATCAAAAACCAAATCAAGTGGAAGCAAGTAAGACAAGCTAGATCATACACCAAAGTTAGCAAAAAATGCAACTTGTGCCTGTGGGAGAAATATTACATAATACGTCAACGTAAGACTGCAACGCTCAAAAAAAAAGTGAACTTATGTCGGAATGTAGACATTCAAAGAAATTTTTATTGGACAATGCAATTACTTAGTTAGAACGATGAACTACTGTACAGGGTGTATAATAATAAGCGCAACCTCGGAATTTCCTAAGAAATCACTTTGCAATTCTTAAGCATAAAAGATTTTAGGCGCCTGGGAATTGAAATCGCATTGCTAATACTTCATATTGCTGTTGTTGTGCATTAAATAAATGCATAAATTTTTCTTTATGCACTCGTGTGTGCAGTAATTTTGACAGTTGTGCTATTTTAAATTCCCAGGCGCCTAAAATCTTTTGTCTTTAAAACAATGACGATTTCTTGGGAAATTCCGAGGTTGCGTTTTTTTTATACACCCTGTATAGCTTTTAACACTTAGCCTATAAACAATATCTTAATCCGTACCGCGAAACAATACAACAATGAACATATAGAGACAATGAACCCATATACAGTATTAGTACTTAGATTTTATACAAATTCAATATGACTTTTTAGCATTTTAAAATTATTGTAATTTGTTTATCAATGAACTTCCCATGTAATCTAACATCTTCGATCGGCATTCGCCTGACGATTGCTTCAGTAGAAGCATGAAACTCAGAGTAGCAATTAAATGTTTTTAAACTAAGAAGTCTCTCTTAACTCTATATATATACATATATATGGCGTATATTTATTTACAAAGACAAAGTATTAAATATAAACACAACTGGTTATTCAAAGGTGCATTTAAAGTAATTAAAAGTTAACTGGCCAAGTAAGACGAAGTTAAATACATTATATGTAAAGAAAATTAATGCTTTATCGCGAGGAGTCGGGACATAAACAGATTGTCAATTTATTAAATTGTCAATTTCCGTCCGACAGTTTGTTGTATTTTATATATTTGTCAGCATTGTTCGCTGAGTGTCCAAACACTAGAATTTTATCTTGATTTTCTTAAACTTCGATACAGCACAAAATTAAACTCAACATATTATATCCACGTGCTATCCACGTGACCTTAACAAGGATTATGCATCCAACTCACAGACGTTCTCTTGCGCGCTTCGTCGAGAGTAACGGCTGTACACAGGCTACGTCAAGAATACGTTTGAATTTGTTAAATGGCAAAAAACAAAATAATATTTGGACAACAATTGACCAAAGGCAATGCTTACGGGATCGATATACTCGTTTCTGACCAGTAATAACCTACTTGGCCCATATCAGTTCCGGTTTAGAAAGCAACATTCTACAGAGATGGCTTCTATTTGTTTAACGAATATTATTGCAGTACAATTAATGATTCTCCCAAAACAAACAAAATGGCGGAAAGGTGTTTTTAACACAAATGTGAAATGAAATTGCCTTTAGGCTGCCTCGTCCCTTGACGCTTCAGTTGGGAATAGAGATCAGTGGAAAAATAATGGGAGCGCGGAACTAGATGAAAATACGAACAAAAGTACTAAATTTTGCTTTAACAAAAGAACTAAATGAAAATACGAACAAAAGTACCAAATTTTGGTTGAAAGTCAGGCAGGACTGGGCTTTGGCGAGAATATGATGTTGACGAAGAAGTATCCAATTTTGTCATATGCTAATATGTCGTAATATTTGGAAATTTGCCAAATTGGACTCGCCCCGGCGGCTCGTCCAATTTTGGCAAAATTTCCAAACATTACTCGTACTATTAATCCCTAATTGTACTCGCCATCGCATGATGACCTATACTAATACGGCGCGATATGGACCACGTGAGGCTAACGGGTGCAGTGTCGATTTCAGCAAAGCCTTTGATACGATCGACCATCGAAAACTACTATCAAAGCTTGAAGCGCTCGGAAAGTAATAGGGCTGAACTGAACTGGATTAGCAACTACCTTTCAGATCGCCCACAGTCTGTTCATTATCAAAATGCCTTAAATGCTTTGGCTGATTCTAGCGTTATAACTTCTGGCGTACCTCAAGGGTCCATCCTTGGCCCTCTACTTTTTGTAATTTTTGTCAACGAAATGCCTAGCACCGTCTCTCGTTGTAGCGTCATAATGTATGCCAATAACACTGTGCTATTTTTCGCATCACAAAATGTTGAGGAGATTGAGGCCGTTTTGAATCAGGAACTAGACACTCTGTATTCCTGGCTTACTGAGCCTCTTTTTAAACAAGAAGAAGACCGAGTTTATCGTATTTGGTACTTCAGCTAGACTATCGGGCACTCGAAACTGTGATGCGAAAATAGGCGACAACCCAATCAAAAGTTTCAAGTATCTCGGTGTCGTGCTGGATGAGGCCCTGAACTGGAAATCTCAACTTAATTACATAATTTCCAAAGGAAATCAGAGAACTGGTATGTTAAGAAGAATACGTGAGGATGTCACAAATCTTTAGTTTTAAAACTGAACGCAAGGGGGAGCTGTGTAGCTCTGCGGGGGGTGGGAAAAACCATAGAAAAACAGGATTCGGGGAAAGAACCAAGATGGCTGACTTAATATAAAAAACCTTAAAGTTTATATTTTTCCGTTGTTTATTAAAATTTATAAAAGCATGTGAGGACAGTAGTTGTCCTGTAGTGTGACCAAGACCGGTTTCTCAAGAATTCCGTGACATCTGGGGGCTCATGCGGAAAATCGGTCAAAGTTTTTGGTGGAAATTGTATTGTTTATTTCAAAACGAAAGTAAACTGTCGATTAGTTTTCGTGGGCAATTTATACGCCGGAGAGTAATTGGGAGACATGATTTGTTCCTTGTAAATATTTTCTTATTGTGGATAAGTATAATTTGCCAGAGGCACAGAATACTACACAGAAGTCCATCTTCATTGTTTTTTGCGTAAGCTCTATTCGTCATGATTCGTCACTCAGCAAGTACCGTAAACAGAAGCAGTCATCCCCCTGGAATGCCCCATTTTTAGTATTTTAAGGGGGGTGACTGTTGCTGTTTACGGTACTTGCTGAGTGACGAATCATGACAAATAGAGCTTACGCTAAAAACAATGGAGATGGACTTCTGTGTAGTATTCTGTGCCAGAGGGCAACCTTAATCGTTGGATTTGAAGAGATTTTGGATTTATCGTGTGTGTTAACATTGATCGTTGGTTCGGAAGGTATTTGATCATATTTTGGCTTTATCGTGGATAATAACATAGAATTGTGGATAAATATTTGCCAGTGAGCAACATTGATCGTTGGTTTGGAAGGTAATTAATCATATTCTGGCTTCATCGTGGATAATAACATAGAATTGTGGATAAATATACATGCCAGTGGGCAACCTTGATTGTTGGTTTGGAAGGGTATTTAATCATATTGTACGTAGCTTTATTGTGGATATGGTAGTATCGCAGACAATTATTAGCCCCAGACAACCTGATCTATGTGTGTGTGTGTGTGTGTGTGTTGAAAAGACTGTGTATTTTGACATTTAAAATTGAGCATGGAAAAGCTTATTGCACTGGGCAAAGAGTTTGGCTTTGAAGGCAAAGAGTTATTGGCTTTTGTGAAAGAACAACAGGACGAAGAGAAACGGCGAGTCGATGAAGAGAGAGGAGAGACAGCGAGAACATGAGAGTAAAAAGTTAGAGGCTGAGGAAAGAGAACGTATACGGCTACGAGAACTGGACGAAAAGGAAAAGGAACGACAAATGGGAGAAAGAGAAAAAGAAGCTCAGAGGAGACATGAACTAGCAATGAAAGAACTGGAATTACAGAGTGCGAATGTTGAGGTAAATAGTGCTAGTATTAAATCGGCTGCTAAGTTACCTAAACTACCCGGCAACGTTTGTCGATGGTAAAGATAACTTGGACAGTTATCTGCAAAGATTCGAACGGTTTGCTAAGAACAATAATTGGGACCAATCAACACGGTCGACTTCGCTTAGTGCATTGCTTACTGGTAGAGCTTTAGATGTTTATTCGAGACTATCTGAGACAGCCGCAGTTGATTACAAGCAGCTGAAAGAAGCCCTTTTGTAAAGGTATGAACTTACTGAAAGTGGTTTTAGGATGAGATTCAGGGAGGCAAAGCCAGAGAATGGGGAAAGCCCAGAACAGTTTGTGACGAGACTAAATAGATATCTCACCAGGTGGGTTGAGTTGTCTAAAACTGAGAAGACCTACGAGGGAATTCGTGACTTGTTCATTAAAGAGCAGTTTATATGTTCCTGCCCAGAAGATCCAGCAATTTATTGAAGAGAGAAGAACCTTGAGAATTTGGAGGAACTGACTAAAACTGCTGAGCAATTTCTTGTTGCTTATGAGAAAAAAACTGTCTAGTTCTTCAAAACCTCACAACAAATCGAAGGTATTTGTGGTGTTACTCTGAGTGTATATCCACACCGGGCGAGCTTGAAAAATATGCCCGGCCACGGTGGGATTCGAACCTACGGCCTTTGGAATACTAGTCCAAAGGTTGTAGGTTCGAATCCCACCGTGGCCGGGCATATTTTTCAAGCTCGTTCGGTGTGGATATACATTCAGAGTAACACCACAAATATCATATTCACCTGAGTACACTACACCAACACAGAAAAAAAATCGAAGGTGTTGTCTAAGGGAATGAATTCGCCTGATAGCAGCAAGGAAAGCGCCCATGAGAAGAGAATTCAGTGTTTTAATTGTTATTATTATTGGTTTATTCCCCCCCCCCCCAAAAAAAAAGAAAGACTGTTAGCTATTTACAAGATATTAATAAAATAAAGTCGGCGAGGAGACCTCAAGAAGCTTAGAGTTTGTGTAAAGAGGCCACCTTAACTCAAAAATTCAAAGTTAAATATTTAATTTATCAGTATAATTTAGGGTTACAGACATAATATAATAATTAATATGCATGAAATTGAAATTAAGTTACAGACACATATAATGAAATTGAAACATAATGAAGTTAAGAGAGAAAATTTACAAAAATATATAATAGATTTTTCAATAACTTTTTATATTGTTACTGAATATTCGATAAACATGGTCATAGCATATCAGAGTTAGCTGTTCCTTATTCGTTAAGCAGAAAATTACGAAGTTGCATCTTGAAAGACGAGATTGTGTTTATCACAGTTATATTTGTAGGTAAAGAATTCCAAATATTCGGTCCTAAGTATAAGATGGTGAACTGCTTAATATTAGTTGGACAAGCATGAGATCTATAGTTACCAGCATGCAGATCTGGTGTTACAACCATGTATTTGATTGCTTATTGTAAACAGATTATCAAAGCATGTTGGCAACATGCAATGATGATATAAAAACATAAACTTGCCAATGTGAAATGTATTTAACTTAAATATATCCAATATTTTGAGTTATTTAAAAAGTGGATCAGAGTAAGCAAACAGCTCCGACCTATTTCGTTAACTCCGGTTCTGTCTAAACTTGCAGAAGAGTTTGTTGTTGAAAAATATATCGCTCCAGCAGTGTTGTCGTCAATTGATCCTTTTCAATTTGGTGGCATCCCTCGATCATCTGCTACAAAAGCCTTAATTTCTATGGTTCATGCGTGGACTCAAGCCACAGATGGAACTGGAAACGCTGTAAGAGTGGTTCTTTTTGACTATAAAAAGGCCTTCGACTTGATTGATCATAAGATCTTAGCCACGAAAATCATCCAATTGCCAATGCCAAATTTCATTAAGCGGTGGGTAATTGACTTTCTGATGAACAGGCAACAACGGGTGAAACTTGCGAGAGACTGTATGTCTGAATGGATTGACATTCCTTCCGGTGTCCCTCAAGGAACCAAATTGGGACCTTGGTTATTCATCCTAATGATAAATGACCTACGCCCCCCACATCATGAGCGATGGAAATACATCGATGATGCTACGGTATCTGAAATCATTTACATCAACACACTCAGTAAAATTCAAGATACAGTCGATTGTGTTCAAAATTGGTCTGTAGAAAACAAGATGCAATTAAATGCCTCCAAGTGCAAGGAACTTGTTATCAGTTTTACAAAACCTGAGAAAGAATTTCCGCGCCTTAAGATCATCTCAGGCCAAATCGAGACAGTGAACCACGCAAGAATCCTAGGTTTGACAATTTCTAAAGATCTAAAATGGAACCAACATATAACTAACATAGTTAAGAAGGCGAACAAACGGATTTATTTTATTATTCAGTTGAAACGTGCTCATGTACCTGAAACTGACCCCCGATGTGCAACGTTCTTGTTGAGAAGTTCAATGGCAGTCTGAAGAATATGTTGAAGAAGCTATGTAGCGAGCAACCAAAGCAGTGGCCCCGTTACATCAATGCCCTGTTATTCGCCTATCGAGAAATGCCACAAGGATCCACTGGATTCTCCCCATTTGAACTGTTATACGGCCGAACCGTACGAGGTCCAATGATGATTTTGAAGCAGCTGTGGACCCGTGAAGAAAAAGATCCAGAAGTGAAGACCAGCTACGAATCAGTGGCGAAGCCAGCGGTCATGCAGGTCATGCAGTCATGACTAAAAATTTTCTCCAAAATGTTTAAAAATCAGTTCAGTACAATAATTGTTTAGAATAGAATTATACTTTATCTTTGCACTTCTACGCCTAAGTATTTTATTTATTATTTTGTTTACTCAAATCAATGGTCTTTAGGCGATATTTTCGCTAAATATTCTCGTATGTTATTGATTTTGGCTTTGCTACCTTGGCAACTGAGCGGTCCTGTATATTTGGATACATGCATGACCGGTTGCGTAAGCGAGTCGAAAACGATTGCGTGTGATTGCTGCGTGGTTTGCTCGCTGTGTGTTTTGGTCATGCATTTTCAGAATTTCATGACCAGCTATATTATTTCTTATTAGGTTTGTTGGTTTCTGATTGGCTTACGACGTTCGCGCACGCGCAATGCGGCTGTTTATGACGCCTTGGTCATGCAATTTTCGATTTGCATGACTAAACGGGCAACCCAACCTGATCACAGCCTCTTAGCTCGAAGCTTTCAGCCTGAATGAACATGGCTTCAGGTCATTCAAGCATGTCGAGTTCTTCTTCACTGAGTTCACTCGAGGTTGACGATATTGTTTGGGAATTGGTGAAAAAACCATTTTCTGCTTTGGCTACTTGGGAAAGGATTTCAAATGTCGTGGTATTCGAAGAAAGAATGGCTTTGTGGATCTATTTACAAGCGCAAAATGTTTTGTTGGCCGTGTCTTTTGTTTTGCCCTGGTACTTCTGAAACCTGGACGAAAACTAGCTATAGCAACATGCGGGGTTTTCTCTCGGACTGCAAAAAACACGAGAAAGCGAAGTCACACATGAGTGCATTTAAGACCTGGAAAACGTTCAGTGCTCGCGAGGCTTGTGACCTGATGGTAGATGTGATGATTTCACAGGCAAGAAGAGAGGAAATCAAACGCCACAACGAGGAGGTAAGGCAGAATAGGGAAATGTTAAAGACCGTTACCAATGCTGTTCTGCATTTAGGCAAACAAGAGATGCCATTTAAGGGCCATGATGAATCTAGTGACAGCTTGAATAAAGGTAATTATAGGGAATTGCTTGAATGTTTTGCTGAACTTGATTCTGTCTTTGAACGACGTTTGCATGGGCGATTAGCCGAGTCTGGGGGAGGTGGGGATAGTCGGTTTACTGGTGTATCCTCTGATACACAAAATGACCTTATTCATTGTCTTGATGCTGTCATTGAAGATCAGATTGTACAGGAATTAAATGACTGCACTTTCCTCAGTGTTCAAGTTGATGAAACAACAGATGTGTCAACAAAAGAGCAGTTTAATTATAATTGTCCGATTAGACAGTGGCAGTGATATTGTTGAAAGATTTTTAAAATGTGTTGATGTAAGTACTGATAGAACTGCTGCCACTTTAACTGGGGTTATTAAAGGAATTTTAGATCAGTATACTGGTATTACTAACAACAAATTAATTATGCAAACATATGATGGTGCTTCAGTCATGTCTGGTCATATCGGTGGTGTTCAGACACTAATGCGTCAACAGTATCCTTTTGCTTACTTTGTTCATTATGCAGCCCATAGGTTGAATCTTGTTTTAAGTCAAGCCGTATCATCTATATCCCCTGTTAAGGTATTTTTTGCTAGTGTTGGTTATTTTAGTACATTTTCAACTAGCAGCCCACATAGAAAAGCTTTCTTTATGGCCAACAACATCGAGATCCCCAGTCCAGGTGAAACCAGATGGTACTATAGAGCTCGTACCATTGATGTCATTTTTAAGAATTACCAACATCTTCATGGTATTTTAAAGAAGGTTAATGATAATCCATTTGGCTTGGATGATGACTCCATAAGTCTGATAGTTGGCTTATTGGGGCATCTTGACCGTTTTTCGTTTTGTTTCTTGCTCTGTCTTTTTTATAGAATTTTTGAGCAATCCAGCATACTTTATGCAATTCTGCAGGGGAGGGAGACCGACTTCAACTATGGCATGCGTAAAGTCATTTCTGGGCTCGATTCGAAATGATGTAGAATTTGACATGAACTATCAAAAAGCTGTCGACAAGGCAGGTTCCCCTGTTACTAGAATTGACCTGAATGTTAATTATAAGCAATTGTATTTTCAAGTTCTAGACACAATTGTAGGGATGTTAAATGAAAGATTTAAAGATATTCAAAGCTTTGGATTCCTTGATCTTGTCAATCCCAAGCTGTTCAGAAATTGGGGAGGAAAGGTACCATCAGATAAAATCGACCTTCTCAAGGAAAGGTATGGACCTCTATTTGACATTCCAATGCTTGAAAGCCAACTAACATTTATTTACAGGGACAGTGATTTCTATAAAGAAACTAGTATGGCAATTTTACAGTATATTTTTGAATTTAATTAATATGCAATCTAGTTTGGCAGAAGTTGTCAAGCTACTAAAGATGAATGGTGTGTTTTCTTTGACTAGCGCTTCAGCGAAAAGGTCCTTTTCTTGCCTAAAGAGAGTAAAGACCTATCTCAGAGCAACCATGACCCAAGACCGTCTGAGTTCCCTTTGTCGGATATCTATCCACAAAGATATATTAAAGTCGAAGAAAGATGCACATACCCTGCATGAGCAAGAACTTGTTAAGTTTGCTGAAAAGCCCAGAAGACATGCATTCCTTTATAAGTAAAGGGTACCTGGATCAGTTGGGGTGATAACAACTCCAGTTCATTGTGGTGACCCTATTATAATTTCTGTCCTATCACATAGTTGGGGAGATATCTACTTAATTGTAGCATCCTCATTAAAAATTTATATTCTATTCTCTTCATAGTTGGGGAAATATCCACTTCATTGTGGTGACTCCATAATCGATTGTAATGTCCATATTTTTCCTTAATAGTTGGGGAGATAGCCACTTAATTGTGGTGACCCCATTATAAAATTCATATTATATTCTCTTTATAGTTGGGGAGATATCCACTTCATTGTGGTGACCCCATTATAAAATTCATATTATATTCTCTTTATAGTTGGGGAGATACCCACTTAATTGTGGTGACCCCATTATAAAATTCATATTATATTCTCTTTATAGTTGGGGAGATACCAACTTAATTGTGGTGACCTCATTATAAAATTTATATTATATTCTCTTTATAGTTAGGGAGATATCCACTTCATTGTGGTGACTCCATAATCCATTGTAATGTCCATTTTCCTTAATAGTTGGGGAGATACCCACTTGATTGTGGTGACCCCATTATGAAATTTATATTATATTCTCTTTATAGTTGGGGAGATACCCACTTCATTGTGGTGACCCCATTATAAAATTCATATTATATTCTCTTTATAGTTGGGGAAATATCCACTTCATTGTGGTGACACCATTGTATGGCAGGGGAGAGCAGAGGCTTGAGACAAGTATAGAAAACATAAAAATATTTTAAAAAAACAAATAACTAAATAAGCGTTGGCAGGCTTTGACTGTCCATGTCTGGCTGCTTGATTCAAGCTGTCCTAGGCATGCTGATGAGCTCTGACATTGAGCGAAACAGTCAAAATGTATATATTGTGAATGGAGTTTCCTATTTTTGTGTCAATCTTTATTGTTGTTGTCTGAAATATGCTAAAATATCCACATTTTTTCCTTCATTAGGTCAAGCTATTTCCTGAAATTTGATGCTCAGATTGCTGCAAATAGTGTTTCTGGGAGTCTATATTTCAAAAATTTTCCGGGGGGCATGCCCCCGGACCCCCCTAGCAACACTAGCGCCTTCGGCGCTCGTTTGCATGACCAGTTCCTTTCGCTTGGCTTCGCCACTGCTACGAATACGTGTTCGATCTTCGGGAGAGATTAGAAGAGACCGTGAAGCTGGCACAAGATGAACTGAAGAAGTCTCAAGTAAGATATCAGCGTCACTACAATCGAAGGGCTAAGTCACGAAGCTTCAAAATTGGCAGTAAAGTTTTACTTCTATTGCCGACTGACAAGAATTAACTCTTGTTGCAGTGGAAAGGTCCTTTCGTCGTTAGAGTCGAATGTCGGAGTCAATGATTATGGGATCAAGGTTGGTGATAAAGTAAAAACATTTCACGCGAACATGTTGAAGGAATACGTCGAGAGACAAACCACGCAAGTCAAAGAGCGGGAAGAAGCGTTGCCAAAGAAGAGTGATCGCGAGATAGAAGGCAGTTCAGTCCTTCACGTTGCTGCGGCGGCTGTGATTGAGCAAAGTGAAAGTGGTCCAGAAGGGGCCGTCGATGACGAGAGCCTGTTAGAGCTTGGCACCATGCAACCCAAAGAGACTGTCAGGGATGTGACATTCGGTCAACAGCTGAACGACGAGCAGAAGGTTCAACTACAAGAAGTAGTCAAACAGTACGAACATGTCTTTACTGATGTGCCCGGTAACGCTAATATTATTGAGCATGAAGTTAAACGTGTTTGATTCAACACTAATGCCTACGGCGGAAGAGACATGCCAGAAAATGTCGAAAGCGAAATACCTTACCAAATTGGATCTGAGCAAGGGCTATTGGCAAATTCCAGTAGCCACTGGAGATATTCCTAAAACAGCGTTCGTGACCCCCGACGGTTCATATGAATTCGTCAGAATGCCTTTCGGGATAATGAATTCTGGCGCGACTCTGGTGCGAGGTATTAGGAAGTTGTTGGATAATCTCGATGAAGCTGACAGCTACATCGATGACATTATTATCTACACGGAGACGTGGGAACAACATCTCGTCGTGCTTGACGAAGTGTTCAGTAGACTTGCCAGCGCGGGTTTCATGGCGAGACCGACGAAGTGTGTCCTAGGAGCTGAATGTATCGAAGTGGTCGGTCACCGAATATCTGATGGAGTCAAGGGGCTCCACGAAGACAACGTGAAGAAGATTAGAGATACAAAGCGACCGAGAACGAAGAAAGAAGTTAAAGCATTTTTTGGCCTTACTGGTTATTACAGGGAGTTCATTCCAAATTACGTGGCGAAGGCGGTTCCGTTGTCAGACCTGAGCAAGAAGGGACACCCAAACCAAGTCGTATGGTCCGACGCACAAGAAAAGGCCTACAGCGCACTGAAAACAGAGCTTACGAGTTTCTCCAACTGCCTGATAACACGAAACCATTTACACTGAGAACTGATGCATCCGACACAGGACTCGGAGTGGTATTATTGCAGGAGCATGATGGTAAACGTTCGCCAGTTAGTTATGCTAGCAGGAAACTAATAGAAAGCGAGAAGAAGTACTGTACGATTGAGAGAGAGAGTGCCTCGCGGTAGTTTGGGCCGTCCGAAAGTTCCTGATATTCCTTTATGGTACAAAGTTTACATTGCAAACCGACCATCTATTTGAAGACAGCGAAGTTTCTCAACGACAGAGTTATGAGATGAGCGATGTTCTTGCAAAACTATGGTATTAAGATATTGAATCTATTAAAGGAGTCGACAACGTTGGTGCCGGCTACCTCAGTAGAGTTTGTTAGAGACTTGTTATAGACTAGCTTGATAGACGGTCAAGAGACCGTGTCTGATACTCATTAGAGACTTGTTATAAACTTGATAGACATTCAAGAGACGGTGTTTGATACTCATTGGAAAAGATGTGCGTTTTGTTATGAAATTTTGTAAATTTCTCAAAAAAGTGAGTCATGTCAAAATCTTTAGTTTTAAAACTTAACGCTAGGGGGAGCTGTGTAGCTCTGCGGGGGGTGGAAAAAACAGGATTCGGGGAAAGAACCAAGATGGCTGACTTAATATAAAAACCTTAAAGTTTATATTTTTCCGTTGTTTATTAAAATTTATAAAAGCATGCGAGGACAGTAGTTGTCCTGTAGTGTGACCAAGACCGGTTTCTCAAGAATTCCGTGACAGAGGACCTAACTTTGAATGCCGCTAACGTTATGTACAGATGTCTCATACGTCCGATTTTTGATTATTCAGATTCGGTGTGGACATGCTGTAACAAGACTGACGCTGATTCTTTGGAACGAGTGCAGCGTAGAGCAGCTAGAATTGTATACAAATCCACTCATAGTGACGTTGCTCTCGAACTCCTACGCTGGACTACTTTGAAAGACGGGACATGCATGTTTATAAGCTAGTTAACAAACGCTTGAAGGGCAACGTACATTAGTTTTTAATGGATTACTTTAAATTTAATCGTGATAGAGTATCACGGCGTACAAGACAGAGTAATCAATTGTACGTACCTAGGGTAAAATTGGAAGCTATAACGGCTGCGTTGTATTTAATAAATTCTCAGATGTTACCGATGCTTAACTATGATTCTAAATACATTTTAACATTAAATATATTTAAATATATTTAATTATAGTTTTAGGTGTATCTTTATCCCCGAGCCGACGGCGCAAAGCGCCGTGCGAGGGTACTAATTCCCCCCGGCTATTTACACCCGGGGAAACGAAAGCATTAGGGAAGTCTAAAGTTCATCACGCGGGCGCATGGCTCACCGTTCATCGTTCATGGGTGGTCATCCTCACTGATCTCAGAAATATGGCGGACTGTCATGAATAGCGGACGCTGATTGGTCCAGTTTAAAGTTTGCATTAAAACGACTGCATGACGACAGCAAAACAGCAAATATTTCTTGATTTGATGATTGATGAATTTTTTGCTCGCATTTTTGCAAGATTTTGTAAATTTCAAAAGTTTTCTCATAAAGAAAGGGCTAAAGAATCGGCTAAAAGAAGGGAGCCGACGTTAACGAAGGTAAGTTTGTTTTAAATATTGATTTTATAATGGGTTTAAACGGCCTTTGCGTATATGAAACAACTAAACAAGGCAGCATATAATTTCAGTATATCTTTAATATTGATTCCCTTTTTTATTATATTGAATTTTTTAAATAAAAAAGAAAGCAAAGTTATTTGTAAGCGAGAATTTGAAATAATTTTATTGCAAACTCAAAGTTTATCGATAAAGCCATTTAATTAAAGGCAGTTTAGTGTTATAAAGAACATTTTAATTAAAACGTTTTGCGAAGCGTTTGTGGTTGAATTTTACCATAGATCTCCCGAAAAGGTCTTTTATTTAAAAAAAATCCATACAATTTGCCTTTAAAATGCATTGCTTTGACATGCAATGCTTCAATGTACAGTAAAACCTCTATAATTTGTATTACATGAAGTACGTGCAACATCACAATAGCGTTGTGTCATTAGGGCCATTTATACGGAACAAAATAAGACGCGACTTACATAAGACGCGACTTAAGTAAGACGCGAGTTTGTCGTATAAAAGGTACAAAATTCTTATGTAAGACGCGTCTTACATAAGAACAGGTCTTTTAGCTGTTCTTATTTAAGTCGCGTCTTAAATAAGAAATTTTGGACAAAAAGTCTATTAACTACACATGCCAGAAACTTGAAACAACGTAAAATTTAATGCCTTGCATATTAAAACAAAAACAACCAAAACAACATTATAGCTATAGCAAATAAATAAGACCAAAGCCGTAGAGAACCATTTATACGATAACTCCACTTATTTAAGTCGCGTCTTATGTAAGTCGCGACTTATTTTGTCACGTATAAATGGCCCTATTATGCAATATATATCCCCAAGGTTGGCAACTAAATACAAATTTAAAACTGTATACACAAATTTAATGACGAAAAAACTCGTACATAAACATCGAAATTTATTAAAAGTAACTCACTATGGTAAGAAATAACTGTAATACTTCTACATTGTGTTTTTTCTTCTCTCATCACTTTTAAACGAGTTAATTTTGCGAAAATTCCGAGGAAAATGGCTCAATTGGTCAAAACTATGCGGGATGACTGCTCCCGGCATTACGTCACAAAATAAAGCTCTCTGATTTGCTGAAAATGTTTAAAATTTCAAAAAAACTCTCCGATTGGCTGGCTGAAATTTCCCAGCGAATCAGAGAGCTTTATTTTGTGACGTAACGCCGGGAGCCATCATCCCGCATAGTTTTGATCAAATTGAGTTACGAATTTGATGAATTTTCCTCGGAATTTTCGCAAAATTAACTCGATCGTTTGAAAGTGATGAGAGAAGAAAAAAACACAATGTAGAAGTATTACAGTTATTTCTTACCATAGTGAGTTAGTTTTTTAATGAATTTCGATGTTTATGTACGAGTTTTTTCGTCATTAAATTTGTGTATACAGTTTTAAATCTGTATTTAGTTGCCAACCTTGAGGATATATATTACATAATGACACAACGCTATTGTGATGTGGCACATACTTCATGTAATACAAATTATAGAGGTTTTACTGTAGATTGAGGCATTGCATGTCAAAGCATTGCATTTTAAAGCAAATTGTATGGATTTGTTTAAATTGAAGGTTAAATTGAAGCTTATATTACGTACAATAACATATCTAACATATATATGTTGGGAAATTGATAATTTTGTAATTAAAAGTGATATTTTTAGGCGATTTGTAAGATGTTACCATGACAGCTACTCTAGATACTTCATGTTCGGAAAATATTATGGTTTTGACAGCAAGGCGAGGGTTTCTGCATGCATGTATTTTCTAGTATTAATATTCTAACATTGATATTTTAACTTGTTGGAATGTAGGGCACCTGTTGATAACAGCATTACCTGTAACGCTGAAAGGTTTACCCTACTAAAATAAAGTTTTTCATACTCATACTCATACTCATACTGGTAAGAAAATAATGAATATATTTGTTTCGCATCTGATATATAGTCGCGTGTTTAAAAGACCTACTGTAAGGTCCTATCGTTTTATAGTGTTTTTGTATCTGCGAAGCAGATATATTGCTATCGCAAACGTACTGTTACCGTATGTTAGCACATAGCCATTCAGCGACGAGCTTATATAATTTAAGGCAATTCATGATAATTTAAGCCAATCAACGATTAGTTTCATCGATTGTTTACATCGTGCCCGCATCTAACCTGCGAACAGGCGGCGTTTGGCCTCGTGTTATTCTTTGCCATTTTCACATTTTGGCTTCGAAAATATCTTGATTTTGGTTTTTTTACGTGCCATTCTACTTGCGATATTATTCCGAAGTTATCTATCAACATGGAAACTTATCCTCATCTGGTAAGTAGTCAAATACCACATATTTATTTATTTTATTATATAGTTATACAGTAACACAATCATTCAACAATATATTTGTCAATGAACAATGTCATAGGAAACTAATGTTCTAAGGAGATATTGAATTAAATCCTGGTCCTGCATTTCTGTAGTAAACTCTGTTCGATGTTATCAGTTAAAATACTTATCCATTTTGGTTTTACAGTGATTTGAGTTTTTAAACAAAATGTTTACAAACATTTTCAAACGCTAATAAAAGAATCCCCACTCTCCCTCCTCATTAGTATATTGTTATTTTTCTTTGTAACATAAATGTTTTTGTTTAGAGATTAATGCAAGAATGATGAATAAATGTACTGGATATTGGCTAGATAATTTTGTCAGAACAACCCACTTGCAAGACAATCTTATATCTAAATTCATTAGTATGGATAATAACTTAACAGCTATAATAATCATATTATTATATGGATGGATCAGATCAATGGCACACAATATGTACAAAACTAAACCTGTGATACCTTCTACTCAAACTGATATTCTCCCACAACACAAATTGTTTTTGTGTGGATATGCTGTGTTAAACCGAACAGTGTGGTATATCATTAACTGTGCACAGGATTGGAATTGAATTACATACTTCACTCATGACCTTCAAGACATTCTCTACTATGCAGTGGTCGGGTCTTTGATATATGATTGACTCTTCACTACAGTGATGCATGTTCCTTGAATAGTTTGTGTATGTTACTCAACAGTTAATGTTGGCAAGTGTAAACAAGTGAATCCAGAACTTCTGCTTCATATGATCACAATAAAGTTTTGAAAATGGGTATGGATTGACAAGTGACAGTTTACTAAATAGAGTCTTCGAATATTGTTTGCATGAAATTTTTATTTTTTGACCGCACAATTATCCGAGTTACAATGACTCATTCCAGAAAAAAACTGTATTCCTCCACAGAGGAAATTGCTGCCGTCCGGAGGGGGAGGGGAGAAAAAATTGTTTCTGATAATAGTAAATAGTATTAGGACATGTGAAGGGAGTAGGGGGGTTGACTTCCTATTTCCTCTGTGGGGGTGGTATGGATGTTTTCTGGAATGACCCAATCGTAATCACAGAAAATTAGTTAAATTTTCTCTGCGGGGGAGGGGGTGGGGGGTGAGTTGCCCCTGCTGCCCTCTGTGCTGTCACAAAATAAGAAGGTACAGCAGAAGTGTAACTCGAGTCGGTTCCCTTATTGTTTTACGTCCACGAAAATTTTAACTCACTCACACCATCCTGGCTAGTAGAACCGGAAATTTTTATCAGGTTTTGGTAGATGTTAAGTGCCGGTTGTATTAGCCAGGATGGCGTGATTGATGACGAATCACTTGTAAAAACGCGGACAAATACTTGCTTGAGTTACACTTGTGATGTACCTTCTTATTCTGTGGTGCTGTCTACAGCCTTGTTAGATTTGTACTATTTTTGTCTTTAAAATCTTATTTGCTATTATATTTATTATAATAAGTGATGAAAATGTGAATCAAGTTTTTTTGCAGATACATGTACGCGTCGCGTACCTATTTTTGTGTTATTCGATCGTGTCTCGATCTTTTTTGAGGTTTGGTCAATGTATCGTTGTGGGCAGTCTCTGAAAGGTATCATACAATTGTGTTTCGTGTTTCTACAGTGGTTATTTTATATTTGTGTTTTTTATAAGTATGATCGAAGTTGACGAGTCGGTTCGTGTGCTACATCGATGTTAAAAGGTCGTAATAGTCTGGCGATCATTTCAGATGTACTGTACTGTCTACTGCAAATTCAAACCTAGGAATTCGTTTACCAGGTGAACCATTTATTTCCGAAACTGTCAGCGTTGAAAGCCCCCTTGATAATTCATGTTTAATTGTCCAACCAGCAAGTTGTATGATAAACTTGACAACAAATGTGAAATTAACAAAGTGAAGTTAACGGAGCATAATATGAATAATGACAAAATCAGTAAAGCTAAGGTCTCGCAAAGTTACTCTCGACGCAATCTTAATTCTCCCCCTTACTGTGAGCCATTGTCGCTGAAATCGCTTGGAAACTTGCCTCTTATCGAAATATCCAAGCCATTTATAACTCAGAAGAGGAAAACCTTTTTGGAAAGCCCATCAAATATATTGAATGATAATACAATTAGCACTGAGACAGTTACTCAGCACGTGTGCATTGGCCAAATACCAGCTGATATTTCTGAATTTATTGTCTTAGACGGCGACGAATGCATGTTTGAGTGTGACAATACTGATAACTGTCCTTTTCGGCAGAGCTTTCTGGAGCGTCCCCCGCCCTTGCCTCATGTTCGAAGAGCGGAATGGTTGGCGCATTTAAATATTGTTCGCCTGCTGACGGCAAAGTAAATTCTAAAGAAAATGAGAGAGAATCACATGAAAATTACAGTTCGATTCCCGTTTAACTTCTTGTACAAAAAATTCCTGTGAGAATAACCCATCGCGTATCAAACTTTCAAAGAAAAATAAATGCAAAACCTAGTCAATTAAGAACACTACAGCTTTGTCCTGAACAAATACAAATGGAAAAAACAATCGGTTCCACTACCAGGGAAAAGTTTCAACCGTAGAAATACGCTTTAACGCTTTGCTTGTGTTAATTCGCGCTCTGTAAGGAACAAGATCGCCGTTATCATTGATCATATGGTTGATAGCGGTATTGATATATGTACTATCACTGAAACGTGGTTGAAGGAATGTGACTCTGTCAGCATTGCTGGACTATCTACTGCAGGATTTGTGTTTAGATCTTTCCCAAGACAATCTGGTAGAAGTGGTGGCGGCACGGGTATTCTGTGCAAAGAATCGTTAAATGTAAAATCCAGTGACTGTGGAAATTTAATTCGTTTGAATTCTCGGAGTGGAATGTTTGTGTGCACAAGCAAACCATTAAAGTGGTGACAATCTATCGACCTCCTTACTCGGAAGATCACCCGGTTTCATCAAATGTGTTTTTCGAAGAGTTTTCATCATACTTGGAGAACATCGTTATGATTCCCGAAGTACTCTTGATTACAGGTGATTTTAATTTTCACGTTGATTGTCCAACCGAAGCAGACGCGAAAGAGTTTGCGGACTTAATGAATACTTTTGGACTTATCCAACATGTTCATGTCCCAACTCATTCATCAGGTCATACCCTTGATTTGATTATCACTAGATCAATCAATGATGTCACAATCACCTCTCCTTTGGTGACGTTTGCTTTGTCTGATCATTTTTTTGTTGAATGTTTGTTGGATATTCCTCGCCCAAACATCCTAGTTAAAGAAGTTTGCTATCGCAAAGTTAAACATATTGAACTCAATGCCTTTAAAGCTGATATATGCGCCTCAGATCTATTTCAGAAAACTTGGTCAAGTGTTAATGATATGTCAAAAATGCTATGATATTACCCTACGTTCTATTCTCGATAAGCATGCTCCTTTGAAATCGAAAGTTATGACTGTTCGACCAATGGTTCCTTGGTTTAATGATAGTTTAAAGAAGCTGAAAGCTAAACGCAGGAAACTGGAAAGAATCATGCTTAAATCGAAACTTGAATATGATAAGAATGCTTATCGTAAGGTACGCGATGACTACAGTGCTATATTGAATGACACCAGAAAAATGTTTTATTCCAACCTTATTGACAAATCTGCTGGTGATTCTAGAAAATTATTCCAAATTGTGAACTCTTTGAGCAAAGAACGTCTAGTTGAGGAGTTTCCTGAAAATCGCGATCCTTCCATCCTTGCTAAAGAGTTTGGTGAGTTCTTTTGTAAGAAAATTGAACTCGTGAAATCAAAGATTGACGAGATTTCCATTAACCCACCTAATGTTCCATTTCATCTGCCTGAAGTGAAATTGGATGATTTTTCTTCGGTTTCTGAGGATGAAGTTCGGAGGATTATCCTTGAATCTTCGAATGCTTCCAGTAAGTTGGACCCTATTCCTACATCATTGGTTAAACTCTGTTGTCATGAATTGGCCCCAATCATCGCTGAAATCATTAATCTCTCTTTCTCTGAAGGAATTGTACCCGATCATTGGAAAATAGCGCTAGTTCTACCTCTATTGAAGAAATTTGGACTTGATTTTATGTTTGAAAACTTCAGACCTATAAGCAACCTGCCATTTGTTGCCAAGTCTGCTAAGAAGGTAACGATCTCTCAGTTATCTATACATTGTGCTGAAAAGGCCCCTTTTCCCGAGTATCAATCAGCGTATCGGAAAAATCACTCAACAGAAACAGCTTTACTAAAAGTCCAGAACGACATTCTCCTCAGTATGGATCGGCAGGAGGTTACGCTTCTTGTGCTTATCGACCTAAGTGCCGCATTTGATACTATCGACCATGCAATCTTACTGGAGACACTTGAAAAAGACTTTGGCGTAACTGGAAATGCCCTCAAATGGCTAACATCTTATTTATCCGAGAGAAAACAAACAATTTTAATTAAAGACCATGAATCGGAAGTTTTCAATCTTCAATCGGGAGTTCCGCATGGTAGCTGCCTTGGCCCTGTCCTCTTCATACTCTATGTGGCTGGGTTATTTAAGGTTATTGACAAACATCTTTCCAATGCACATACGTATGCAGATGACACCCAGATTTATCATTCGTTTCGGCCGGATACATCTTTATCGCAAGATGCTGCACTAAAGAGTATTGAAAACTGTGTTGCTGACATTTGTGCCTGGATGCTTTCTAACCGTCTCTTGATAAATGATTCCAAGACTGAATTTATTATCATCGGTTCAAAGCAGCAAATGTCAAAGATTAACATCAATGAAATTACAGTTGGTGAATCTACGATCGAGCCTGTGGAGGTGGTTCAAAGCCTCGGAATGTGGTTTGACTCACATATGTCGATGGATATTCACATTGGAAAAGTGTGTAGTAAGGCGTTTCGCAGCCTCTATAATATCCGGCAGATAAGGAAATTCCTTTCAGAAGATATAACAAAGATTTTGGTTCATGCTTTTGTTACTTCACACCTGGACTACTGTAATTCATTGTTTTATGGTCTCCCACAGTCTCAATATGATAGGTTACAAAGAGTTCTCAATGCTGCAGCACGTGTGGTCTGTCTAATCCCCAAATTTTTGTGGAATGAACTTCCCGCTGACATTCGTGAAGCGTCAACAGTGGAAACTTTTAAAAGCAGACTTGAGACCTTTCTTTTTAAAAAGGCATTTTATCTTTAAATATTATAGTAAATTTGAACTTCCCGCTGAAATTCGTGAGGCGTCAACAGTGGAAACTTTTAAAAACAGACTTAAGAGGCTGTCTCCGTAAAAACCTCCAGGTCAATGTGGGGCTCAAAAAGATCTATCCTTGGGAACAACTAAAATCGATGTCATTTTACTCAAATTTCCTTTAAATTATTTTTGGGGGCGATTGGTGTTCCATCGACTGGTAACCAACTTGATACTCCGAATGAAGGCCAAATATCGACATTTTCAGCGCTATTTTTCAAATCAAATTCATACCTACATTTCAAAATTTTTGCTCAGAAATATAAACTTATCCTTCTATTTTCGTCGGTGATAAAACTTAGATCATTATTCTTTGGTATAAAATAGAAAACAGCGCAGTTATTGACCCTCCCGAACGGATAAAGGATATCGTCTCAAAATATGTCAACTTCGAAAGCTTATTTCAAAATCGTGGCACTTGATTGGCACATGATCGACTTTAACTTTTCTATAAACTACTAACACTATTCAACACAAATCGCCAATAATATCTTTCTGCTCTACCATTTGACAAAAATGACAAGCGCGCAAACTTTGTAAAATTTGAAAATGTGTCGAAATCGAGCATACTTTATTGGTAAACATAATTATTGATATTAACAGATAAAATCACCTTACACTACACTGAATGAAGCTTCATTATGTAAATACATGTCTTTCATCATTATTCTTTGGTTTGGCGCTTGAATCAAATTGTTTGAGTACAGTTTGGCTTCACGGATAGAGTCATTCAATGCCAGTGTGTCCAGTGTCTTCTGCGCGCCTCAATACTACGAGTCCTGATTGTGACATACTATACAATCTTCGCCCTGTTCGCTTTGTTTACCTCTTTAACAAATACATGTTTAACAAATAACAATATTCAATGAAATTGGAAAACTCAGAATTAGTCATACTACAGACAGAATTTTCATCGTTTTTAAACTGTTTTATAAAAGTTTCGTTAGAATGTACGAATTAAATCTCGGGGAAAACCCCGGGCAATGATGTCAAATGTCAATATTTCGTTAGTTTCGCTCAGTATAGTTTTCTAGCAACTGAATTGTCTCTAGGTTTAGAAACAATTATCAATGAAACTAGAATTCAAGTAAGTCACGGTTCTGTATAAAAAAAATCAACTTTTTCAGGCCGACCCTGGGTCACTTTGCTCAAGGCTATGCTTCAAGAATTTACATTATTTCTTATTGTATAAAAATATGCGAATATTTTGATATAATACAAAACAATTCAGCGCAAACAGCTGTAACCCATTTGAACGTCTCAGTTATTTAATCAATGTTATTCCTTTTTTCAGTAACAATTAGAAAGGTTCTGAAAATTAGAATTAATTTATATTCTTCTTTCCGACAAGCTTTAAAGGGTGACAAATTTGCAAGTGATAACTAATGTCATTCTTACACGCCAGCAACTTCGAAGAACAGTCTACTGTGTCTCGGAATTTTCCACACTCAGAAGTAGAAAAGGAACATTTCTACATTATTGTTTACCCGTCATTCTCATCTGTCAACATAAAATCTACTGTCTGTCGAAATCGTTTAAGGCCCTGTCACACTATTGCGTATCGTACTAGCGTATGCCAGCGTATGAAAAATATCACTCATACGCCGGTATACGCTGACATACGCTAGGGGTACGCTAGGTATAGGTTGTATACGTTTCAAGCACGGTCGCATACGGTGGCATATAGCGAGGCAGAAAATTTTTTTAAGCATGTTCAAATATTTTGTGCGTATCGGACGTATGCTTTATACGATAAGCATACTCTAGGCACACGCTCAATACGCTAGAGGTACGCCAGATGTACGGTACTCATACGCTGGCATTGCAAAGGATTTTTGTGCGTATGAAAATTATTTCATTGATTTTCATACGCTTCTCATACGTTTCTCTCATACGCATTAGTGTGACAGGGGCCTTTAGGTTTAGCCCTGTCACACTATTGCGTATCGTACTAGCGTATGCCAGCGTATGAAAAATATCACTCATACGCCGGTATACGCTGACATACGCTAGGGGTACGCTAGGCATAGGTTATATACGTTTCAAGCACGGTCGCATACGGTTGCATACGCTGGCATACGCCGAGGCAGAAATTTTTTTTTAAGCAT